CGGGCCTAAGTTTTCCGTGAGCTCTATTGGCACGAGCTTGGCCCGTACATCAGCAGGACTGACGCCAATCGTAGGTCCGCTGTGAACAAGTTCGTGTCTGCTCTCCTGGAGAACAGACCAGAGGACGGAGTGCTCCGGGCACTGGATCACATCACTCGCGGCCTTCGACATCTTCTGTTGAGAGACCTGCCTGAGAATGACGTCCGCTGGATTGACACTACAGGCGGCCGCTGTTGCCCGGGGCTGTCGACGATCAAAAGGCGCCTACAGTCCTCCCTGGTTCGAGAACTTCTAGATCATGTGGACCCTGTCCACTGCCACTAATCTAAGGTTCCTTGCGGGGAACTTTTGCTTAGGCCACTTGCGCAAACAGCGCACAAGGCATTGAGTCAGCAGGATTAATCGGGTGCGGCAGCAAAAATACAGAAGCGGTCAGCACCTCTGCCTCCTCGGCCAGCCTGACTTGTCTTAGTAATCCGACATAGCTGCAATGCTAATTTGTCTCCTTTCTTAGCAGGAGGAGGGCTAACCACCAAGGGGTCCCCACGCTGGACTCCGGATATGACGATTAGGCGACGCCATGGATCAGCCCGTCCCTTTTTCTGTTCCCCAGCCACGTCTTGCAAGTGCTGCGCCAGGCTTTCTCTGGCTGAGTCCGCGCGCAGCTTTCAAGCTGCGGCCGGAGCAGAGCCAGCTGGGACGTTTCGACAGCACAAGGACCTGCTTGCGTTTCCAGTAGGAGCAGTTCTTCCTGTGGAGTCAAGAGCGAGGCTTCTGGCTTCTTGGCTTTGTTGTAATTGTGCACGAGTCTGCGGCTCCCAGCAGCGAAACTTCCTTAGCGTCTTGTGGGCTAAATAGGCATCGCCTTTACGACAGGCTTCATCGATTTCTTCCTGAAATTCCTTGACACTGTGCTTGCGAGCCTGGTTAATGGCCTGGGATGCAGGACAGGAGGCGGAGGGGCTTGCTCTGTGCGCCTCCGCGCGGGTGACTCGCGTGGGTACGAAAAACTCTGTTACAGGCCCTACGAAAGGCTTTCTTACGTATGCTCGTATGCGAATCCGCCAGTTTCGAAACCAAGACCGAGGATGAGGAGACTCCTTTCACCCCGTGGACAGGTGAAAACCCTACCGTCGCTAGGCAGAGGAATCAGCAATATGGCTCAGTCGATCGGACAACCTACGCTTCACGAAGGGAGCCTGTTGCGAGCCTCTTGAGTTGGTAACCCCGGCCTGGTTGGGACAGCTACCCTGCCTTAACTCTGTGGTCCGTGGCGGCAACAACAACAACAGCAACAGCAACAACAACAACGACAACATCAGCAACAGCGACAACAATTTTGCAATTGAACGCTGCGCGAGCGGACTCCACGCATGGCGGGCGATTGCCGCGCCAAGCACTCACTAGTTATGAAACTGACCTTGTGATCTAAGTGTGTCTGAGTCTCTCGATCATGGCTACTTAAATGTGTTGCGTGCTCCTTGGATCGATCCACGTTGCGCTGCCTGTACTGTGTAAGGCAGACTTGAACATAAGACTGTGTCCCCATCTCCACCGAGCAGGGTTGCTGGTGCGGGTGCCCCGTATCCCTGAGGACCGACGAGCACTTGAGAAGTTCAAGAGATCTCCACACAACAAGACCACGATCTGCACAAGGTGCAGGGGTGGCAGGCCGGCGGAAGCCTTGGGGGGAGGGGGGCATTGATCGTGGCAGCGGCTGTAATGTGGACTTCCCAGCAACCGTTGGTGAGTTGTAAGTTGTCCGTCGTGGGGCCTTCGACGTGAGGGATGCTGGGGGGAATGTCTATGTCGTCGGGCCCGGTGGGGCATTGTCGTACTGGGCTTGCTATTCAGCTGTGTAGGTGTGTCTTCGGGTAGCCGTGGAGGTGGGCTGCACTGTGGCATCGGTGCTTGCGCCTGTGTATTGGGTGCTGTGGCCGTGGCTGGTCGTTGGGTGTGGTTCGAGCAGACAGGGTGCGAAGAAGTGCTTGAAACTGTGGCTGGCAATCAGCTTTGGCTGTGAAATGCAGCGTCGGCAAGTGCTTGCAACATGACGGCTGTTTGGCTTTAGCCAAGCCTTGCCTTGAGCTGGATGCTCAGAGGCAGTGCCTCTTGGAGAAGTGTGGCTGTGGCCAGTGGCTCCGTGGTGAGAACTATCTGCATTGGTTGCTTCAACCACTACGCCCTGGCAGTTGGGCTTGAAGGTACTGCGCGAAGGCACCGACGGCGAAGACGGAGGGGTGGCGATATCAGTAGCCACGTGATGCAGTCCTTCCACGTTTGTAGTCCGGACCTGAGACTTTTCTGACGAATTGATCGCCAGCCAAAAGCTGCGGGCAGGCTTGCGCATGCCTAGAGCATGCTTGGCCTTGATGTGGGGCGGGCCACCCCACCTATTGTGGGGTCCGGCCTTCCCGCGCGCAGGCACCCTAGAATGAGTGGGGCACGCAGTCCGATGCGGGCCAGCACCTACCATGAAGGATAGGTCAGTTTCACGGTGGCTTCACCAACCAAAACTTGCCTGCAGTCGCTGCCTTCGGGCGAGTCGCGTCATCACCGACATGAAGGGTTTCACGACCCGGGTGGAACCAAAAGGAGCGATGTAGTGCCCGGAGGTAATCTCTGGGCCGAGGTGATACATTCGTGTGCCATTACCTTTCTTGGCCGTCCTGCCACGTGGGTGACGGCGCGCCGAAGATCTAGAGGCGTCTTGAGTTTCCCCTTGTCAAGGCTGGGGCCCAAAACAATGCTGATGAAAGATATGATTGCTCCATTCAGTGCAGGCGTGTTGTAGAGTGCGGCAGGCCCTGCGAATCCACCGAGAGATAGTCGACCGTCAAGCTTCCACCTTGCAACCAGCGTGCGCAGCGACGGGTAGTTCAGCGGTCCTGCTCGCTGCATATCGTTCTGGCCAGAGCTGAGCCAGCCGCTCCCTGCTGAGGGAGCTGCGGTTGCGTCTGCAGATCATCTGACTTCTTCGTAAAGAAAATGTGAAGAGACAGTGTCTCCGGTGTTGGAAGCGCAACCGGACTGGGTCCCCGCATTTCTGCCGTTCCAGGCACGCGGTGCCGGCAGAGGCAAACTTGAAACAGGATCATGCGCTGCTCACCGTCCTTTCGATGGGAGAAATTGCGCACGGGTGCCGAAACGCGCCGGCGGAATTGATCCGGTGCCCCCAGGTGATGCAGCCTCGCGCAGCGCACGCTCCTGTTTCAGCTCCGATGGGACCCGAAGTGCTTGGCGGGGCGTTACCGCGAAGAGAGGGTCCTCTGCTCTCAGCCTCACCCCGACCTCCTAGCATCGATCCTCGGTAGCGGCAGGCTCCTCAACTCTGAGCCGAGTAACCCTGACAGAGCCGCATAGCCGCAGGGTTGTGGAGGTGCCAGTGCTTGACATGTGCTTGCCGGATGTGGGATTTCACGTTGGGGTGATCCGGCATCCAGAAGCCACATATTTTGCAGCGCTGCGGGTAGCTTCAGAGGTCCGAGACTGTGGTGCGAGCCCCATGCCAGTCGAATCTGACCTTGAGGAACACGGCCGGTAGCATGTTCCTTCCATCGGATCCCATGAGCTTGTGTTGAGGGAGACAGGGTCATGGTTGGCTGCGTCGCTGGCTGCAGGCAGTGCCTCAGTGTCAGCGTGTGTGGCGACTTGGGCAGTGCCCTTGCTGGTACATCGACTATTTTTGGCCGCCTTCTGTGAAGGCGGCGAGGCCGAAGATACACAGTACCACCCGGCCGTAGTGAACTCGGCCGTGGCCTGCCAGTGAATCTCCTGCAGGACGACCACGTCGCAAATCTTGCTTAGCTTCCCTAGCCGTTAGCAGCCATGATTAATTTTCTGACCAGTGCTGCTGGCCAAGGTGCCCTGCTTTCCAAGACAAGATGCGAAGTTTCTTGTTTGCACAGTCCGCTCGATGCCGGGCAAGGGAGGTAAGAGCGGCTGTGGCCCATGCGGACCTCGGTATGGAACCGGTTGCTGACTGATAAGCATGCTTGAAAGACTTTTGCCTAATCTGAAAAAAAGTTTGCAATGCACTGGTAGCAGCGCCATCCGCCATTCGTCACGAAGCAAGCTAGGTAACTTCCTCCACCTTGCGGCAAAGTGGAAACCCCACTGCCTGCCCAGTGGGCCCGTGTATGAAGCAGGGACTGGGTCCAGGAATGGGACCTTGCGGATCAGACCGGTTCAAGAAGCGAGCAGGCACATGGCTCAGCGAGTGGGACAATCCTTCACCGATCGAAAAGGAGCCTGGTCGGGACCTCTAGCAACGGAAGTTGCGCTCCGAGCCGGCTCGGAACCCCTCAAAACTGCGCAGCCGTTTGATCCGTAGCGGCAACAGCAACAGCAACAGCATCAGCATCAGCAACAGCATCAGCATCAGCATCAGCAACAGCAACAGCCACAACAACAACGGCAGCAAAAACAACATCAAAAGACGCAGACGACACAACATACACGATTGACACAGCAAACACAAGCACAACGACCCCTCTGCTCCCTTCACAACCCTGTAGTTGTAGGCTCAGCGACTGGACACGACATGCAACCTCATGCCAATGTGAACGCTAGTTGTGGTTTGGGATGCGCACTTGCTTTTGACAGAGAGAGAGCGCCAGATCGCGTCCATCGTTTCTTGCTGTGTCACACCGACCTGGATTCCATTGCGCTTGCGAGTGCGGGAGGAGGTTTCTGCGTTTCCCTTGTCCGAGTGCAAGCAAAAGAGACAGAGAGAGCATCATGCGTCAAACAACTGGATGATGAAAGATGGAAACACCTTAGAAACAACATGTATTTGCTTGCCCCTTCGGTCAGCATGGTCAACACATCATCCCACTTCACACCCCCCGAAAAGCCCGCAACAAAGCGGGCGGGCCTAGAGCCCGCGGGGTTTAACTCCGGCCTTTTGCTTGGGAGAAGAAGGAGAGAGAGATAGAGAGAAAGGGACAGAGAATTTCCTGCGCCTTGCGGTTGTCATCGGTTCCCTACATCCTGGAGACATGATCGGTGCAAAGCGCTTTGTGCAAGAGTGTGCGGCCGATGCGCCAAGGCCTCTTCACGATGCAACGAGTTCCAGATGTGCACGATGCTCACACATGACGTGGAAGATCGTGGAAGTTGGAGGTTGTTGTGACAAGCATTCCTGGCTGAGGCTTCTTACAGAACCTTGATGTACATGCATGGTCGACTTCACGGCCTTGTATCCAGGGGGAATGAGGCAGACGGATGCTGATTGAATGAGAAGTTCATGAATTGATGCGTTTGTGCGTCTAAGCTGCCCAAGCACACCATGCCAACAGCCCGACGGTACTTGCTGGAGCTCCACATACACGCGGTTTCATTTTGGCCGGTTCACAACAACATGCAGGGACTTCGGCCAGAGGCAAGCATACGCAGGAACAGACGGTGCAAGCAACGTGTACCCGCCCTTCTTCCACTATCAAATTGACACATGAGACACAGTCTCTCGAGTCACATCTTACTCAATGATGTGTCTAAGCATGCTCTGTTCTGGTCTGCTCGAGGAGAGATATGTGAAGTATTGTCTCTGGTCACAGACCCGAGAGACTGGGTTGGGGACTTGCCTGGCGTTTTTGAGTAAACGCACGACGTTAAACCTTCTGTGTTACACAAACCCAATTCTTGAGGGTTTTTCGCCACAGGCATTTTCAAGTTGTGTCGGGCTTCCGAAGATCTTTGGGTGATGTCGAAGCTCCACGGAGCTCTTTTTGGCTTCTGCAGGTCCTCGAGAGGGAAGCCACAGAGACGGTGGTGAGAGTGCCGCTGCATTGGACTCGGAGCTGAGACGGCTGAGACCTGCGACATGCACGAGTGCTCAAAGCGCCAGGCTGGAATATGTCGAGGGTGATGAGGATCTGGAAGAGGAGCAGAAACAGGAGGACCCTAGTCGGAAGCTTCTCTGTCCTCTTTGCAACTTCCGACTGCGTAGGACGATCTGGGGGAGTTGGATGAGGACGACGATGACGACGAGGCATAGACCACACCACTCCAGACTAAACCTTGTACGAGTTGCAATACGAGCCATCCCGATGAAGGGAGGGTGGTGGACACTTCCGTGCCGCCGTTGTCGAAAATCCCGAGTGATGAGACGAAAGCTGTGGCAGGACATGGACCTCATCGCAGATGATTGGTTAGACAGTGACTAGCCGCAGAATGCGCGCGCACTGCTTCACTCTGCAAGAGCAGAGCCGTCTGGCCGAGCTTCGCATGTCGGTTGCCCTGCTCTTTCGGAGCCAGGATGATTTTTCGGCGTTGGTGTCACAAAAGATGCGGCGGCTGTGCTGCGTTCTGGTGCTGTCCATGTCTGACTGGAGTGAAAACAGCTAATGTCGCTGCAGCGAGCTCTGTCTCAAGAGCACGGAAGAGGTCGGATGTAGCAATGTTGTGCAGACGCCAGGGGTCTGCACCGCTTAGTGTCGCTTCATGACATGTGCCTAAGATGGCTGTGGCGGTTGCTGTTTCTCTCTGCGGTGGACTCCAGAGGAGATGAGACCTGCTGGATGGATGGTGTCACCTGGGAACAGTGTTGTCCCTTTGCAGCAGCAGATAGCAGACCATCGCAGCAAAGCTGATGTCTGTACGGCTGACAGCAGAGGTGCTGCCAAATTTGGCCCCGAGGAGGGCCTTGCATCATAGTGTTTTGCCGCTTCTGCATCTGGTTTCCTGCTTTGATGGCAGGGAAACGGCGCGTGCTGGGGCGGTGACTTTACTTTCGAGCGCTGCTGCATCGATGCAGAGCCTGCCGAAGTTCCCGCGGAGTTGACGGCGGCTGCGAGCGCGACTCGGCCGCTAGTGGTCGGTTTGCAAGCCCTCACGGGAAGGTCTTCTAGGCTTCGTTTTTCAGGCACAAAGTAGTACAGTAGTACAGCTTGCAATGTCCCTCCTCATCGTTCCAGCTTGCTTCGCTATGGTTCGCAAAGCTTCGCTGCCGCACCCAACTGCTGGCCGCATGTGCACTCGAGGACAAGTGCTTAGGAAGCCCAGCCTTCCTGCCTGCTTCCAGTCTGCGTCTAGCCTTCCGAGGCCGCGTACCCTGCTTGCTGGCATCCTGGAGTTGTCCTCCGCCACGCTGGCGAGAATGGCGTCTTTGCGGATCTCTCGCTCTATGGCCACACTGGATGCTTTCTCAACAACTGCAAACTCACAGGCAGGGAAGAAGTGGGACAAGGCAGAGTCGGGCAACCTTTAGGCATTCCTGCAAGCCCCTGCCAGACAAGTTCGCCGCCGTCGATGCTGGCGTTTGCGGCCGTGCTTGCAGCGAAGTGGAAGAGTGCCGTCACTGGACATTCGGACAGCAGTACGGAGTGAAGACGTGTTTCCTCCGAAAATCAGATGCAGGCCAGCAGAGGTGAGAAAGTCTAAGCGCCTGCATGGTCCGACTGTGTCTCTGCAAGCCACGCAGCCAGGTCGAGCTTTTCTGCCTCATTGGGTCTCGGGGACCTCCGATTGCGCTCCACCACGCTTGCCGCCTGCCTGGGTGGCATTGCGGACTGCAAAGTGTGAGGGTCTTCGAGCTTGCGATGCTGGAAAAGGCGAGGGATGTCCGGATGTAACTTGTCGAATTCAGCATTGAGGGGTCCTTACTTTGACCCTTACACGAGCACAGTATGTAGAAGTGCAAACATGAGGTGGAAGCAGCAATCACCACCTGGCTGTTTGCAATCGACCACATGAAACGTGCGTTTACGGGTCGAGTGGATCAAGACACTTGGCATCTTGGATGGAACGAGCCCACGCCCCAACAAATTCAGGGGAGAAGGTGTGCGTCTCCCAAGACATTTCTCGAGGTTTGTGACATCTTTCTTAAGGGGTTTTGTTTTACAGTCAGACAGCCTTGCTTTCAAACTTGCAGCTGCGTATATCCAACACGTGTGTTGCTGGGATCAAGCAGTGGGACTTTCGAGCTCTACTGACACGTGGGTTTCTGCCAGTGTTTTCTGACATGCTGAAGCTTTGTGTCAGGGTTTTCATGACAAAGCCAGCGTTCGGCCGCCGGTCGTTTGTACTCCAGACGTCCCCTTCCCCAAAACAAGCACGCGCACACACGTATCGCCCTAAGAAAGGCTCACAGTCTTCTTATAGTGAGGACTATGGCTAGTGAAATCGATCAAAGACTGGTCGAAATCTGCTGCATCCGAAAGCTCGAGGATCCAGAAGCTGTCTTTGTTTCCGCACCCGTCTCGTTTTTTTTTTTGTTTTCATCCCCGCTACGAGATCACACGAAAGATGTTTGGGCCCAGCCAGCACTGCCCATGTCGGTCGCCTGCACTCGCGCGATACACCATCGCATCACGTGGCGACTTGTTTGGTGCTTACAAGACCCAGAAAGGTGCTGCAAGTTGCTCTGCTCCTTTCTTTGGCGAAAGGAGGGCTAGGGCCGCTAGGGCCTAGGGGTGACATGATTGTTGACGTCTAGGCGAAGCTGAGTTTTCAGGTGGAAAGATGGGTTAGAGCAGCACGTAGGTGTCTGCTCAAGGAGTTTGCGACCGGATGTTCTGGCCTGCATTCTCTGCTCTCAGGTCGCACATTGAGCGCATCGGCAAAGAATCTGCAAATTTCCGAGCTGGGCTGCACTCGGAGTACCGTCCGAGTGACAAAGACTTCCCACGCATCATCTACAACAACAGGCCGGGGACCAAGCATTTAAGCATCCTCCAAGCAAACCATGTCACGGCGCTGGGCAGTAGCAGGTCTGCGAACTTCGGAACCATTTCAATGACAAGTTGTGCTTGTGCTGGTGCAAGTCAGTGCCATACGGAAGTGCAGCAAATGTAGTTGAGGCTGATCTTCAACCATTTGGAAGAGGCGCTCTCTTCCCAACCAGCAGGGACAGCCACGGAGGAAGACGCATCACTCCCGTTGCTCGGATTGTGCGATGTAGGTGCGAGATGTGAATTGTGCAACTCGCATTTCCGCACCGTCAATAGCTCACTAAGGAATCCGTTGCGCTTTGGGAAGTTGTGTGGTAAGTCCTCTTGCTTCGAGCTTTGAGGAAGGTACCACCGTGGTCGTGGCTGTACTTATTCTGGTTAGCTGACGGAGACTCCCCAGCATGGGATCGAAAGTCTGCCCAAAGACAGGGAGGCAAAAGAACACTTCCGGGCATTTCGTACCTCTGCCAGCTTCGTGCAGCTTCCAACATGCACAGCGTTTCGCTTGACAAGCCTTTTGCGGGCTCTAGCTGGAAGACAGAGGCGGACTGTTCCAGCAGTTCAACCGTGACTACTGAAAAAGCAAAGGCATGCTTTGCACGGAGAGTACCCTTCCAAAGCCTTGCAAGCATGGCGCGTGAGCCCGGGAGTCCTCTGTCCCCAACGGCAGCAATGCTGGACCTGGTTTCGTTCAGATGCAGACAGAACATGCCCGCATGATCCCACGTGTATCAGGTGTTCTGTTGGATTGAACCTAAATGCTGCATACAGCACGCAGGAGCGGACAGCTCGGCTGTCAGATGAGTCCATCGCTGCGCAGGCGACGGCAATGCTCAGAGCATGACCATGGCAGCCTGGTGGATGGCCTTTTTGCCTTTGTGTAGCAGAAACACCCCGGAATTGACAGTTGCAGCAGCTTTTGGATTGTTTGCACTTTCAGGTCAGGCTCTCAGATGTTAGTGCCGTCAGCAGTGTCGCTGTCGAACTTTGATGCCCCGAGATCATGACCTCGTCAATGGGCCGCAGTTGGAATCGTCTCAAGGCTTCCCTGCTGCGGCATCCTCCGAGCAGTCAATCGCCACGGCATGTTTAAGGAAGCGGAGTTTGTCAACTGTGTAGTGCCTCTGTTTGACTTCGTCTGATGCAGGTTTTAGAAGGCTTTTTGCACATTCTTGCTTATTGTGGCGTGTGGCCCTCACTATGTCTGCTTTGCTTGTTGAATCCGTCTCAAGAACATACGGGTCAGGTGGCGTTGACAGATAAAGAAACTGCACGACTGCCCCAGCTTGAAGAAGAGCACATGCAGCGAACTTAGCAATGCCATGCAGGGCCTTGCTTACTCGCATGTGCGCTTCTGTGACTGTGTGTCCCTACGCAACAGATGGTCGGGTTGATGCCACCCAGACTCTAGACGGGCATGGCAGGATAGCCTACATCGTTGAAAAGATGGATGAATCCGTGCGAGAGAGGCATGGCTGGCCGCCCTTCTCTCCACAGCGATCTTGATCCGCATGTCTGTGATGTAACATATCTTGGGTTCAAAAGATCTGCCGCTGGCACTTCGTTGGAATCGGTGCAATGACGCAGATAATGTTGCTTGCAGGACAGTCGTCGTCAGGTAAGACTTCGAAGAGCACAGGTCGAGTTTAATACGGGAAGTAGGTCGTGGCAGCTAGTGACGCAGCTAGTGCTAGTGAGGAGCTTGGGTTTGAATGGAACTGTCCGTGCTGATGTTGCAGCATGGAGAGAGATCCAGAATCGGAATTGTTGGCTGAGGCACGCTTTTGCTTACATGTTGCATTCTGTGGCAGCATGAGACTGGTTTAGGACATGTGAGTGGAAAGGACAGTGGCCCCGAAGACGTGCTCAACTTGTGCCTTGGAATCGCACCCGGCAGTGCATGTAAACCGGAGAAGCCCGCAAAGCTCGAGACCGAAAGTGCTGACAGATGCCAGGTTCGGAAGCGAACTCGTCATCGACACCCAGGGTTTCGCTATTTGCTTCGTGTTTGCCAGAGGTCCTTGCGGGCTCGCTTCATGTCCAGGGTCAGCTTGCAAACCAGCATGAAGGCTTACGGCGTATGCCCGGCTGCCCACAAGTATTGAAAATGCACCGAGTGCCAGGCAAAGCTGCCGGAGGCAGCATTGACGAAAATGACACAGTTGCCGCGCCGTTTGAGGTGCGCTTAATGGAACTAGACCGAGCAGTTTGAGCAAAGTCTCGTGGGCTTTCCTGCTCCGCTGCTCTTTGTGAGAGTTTCTTTGTGCTGTGAAGTTACAGCGTCTTGGTTTTGGTGCGTCTGCTCCAGAAAGCCAAAGAGATCTTTGTCCGGAAGATGAACGCGGACAGCTGCTCGGGCGAACATAGGATCTGATGTAACTCAACATGATACAGGCCGTTGCCAGAGTACCTGCAAAAGCACGAAAAGCCTCCTGACGTCTCAGGCTGGCATACACTGGAAGATGGCAGCTCGGTCCTAACAATATCGCGGCAAAGACGCAAATCCCTGCTTGCAGTTCTTGGAGGATTGCCTTCTGACAGGCTTTGATGTCTTGCAGAGTGGTGAAAGTGTCACACAGCTGGTCTACCAGGCATCGACAGAGAAGTGACGTTCCGTAGCTTATGCTGGGCCTGGCCCGCTGGGCCTGTGAGGACCTCATCAGGAGCAAGTTCGTGGAGCTTTGTCAGAGGACCTCCTTCAAGGCAAATGTTTCGTATCCTCTGCCAGATGAATAGAACATTCGCGGCTTCTCTCTCTGCGCATGGCTGTGCAGGTCGACACATTCGAGAGCATTGATGGCGACTTGACCTGCGACATACAAGCCGACAGCAGAAGTACCAAGAAAACGAAACTGAAAGTAGAACGCCTTGAGTAATGGAGCGTGCAGGTTCTGCGAGCCTCAAGTGTGGTCATCGGTGTCTATGGTTTGAGAAGATGTGCTAGAAGAAAAATCCTGCCAATCGATTGAAGTTTGCGATAACGGGAGCTGGGGGCAGCTGCAAGTTTTCAGTTCCAGTAAGGCAGTTCTGTGTTGGGGTTCCTACTACCAAGCCTTGCTGATCTGTGTTTTTGACTTTTCGGTAGCCGATCCTGCGCATATGTGCGCGTGCTGCATACACCTGCCATAGATTCGTTGACCTGAGGCGATGAGGTGTTCATGCGTGTTGGGCTGGACCGTGGTGGCGTGATGATCCAGGACTGCGAAATCCTGCAGATCTCCTGTGGATTGCCTGTGGATTGGAGATGGTCGCAGGAGCTTGCAGAGCGGTACCGCTACCGCTGCTGAGCTGCAGATGCTGTCTTCGTAGGTGCTTGGGAGACTCGTGGATGCAATGACAATGCAGGCATGCCCTTCACTGAGGACGTCGTGGCCAGCTCATGTTCATTCATGTTCGCCCCAATCACGAAACCATAGTTTAGTGTGTTGGTTCCTGATAGTGCGAGCAGGAGTCCTACGAAGACATGGACGCCTGGGGCAACTGGCCTGGAAAGGAACCAATGCAGAAGCCTGGCATCACGATGACGAGTTCAGCGTGAGATCAATGCTGACGTCTGTTCACCCAGGAACAAGTATGGTCAGACAGTTTGCGGCTTTGCCTCGTACAAGGTCCTCTGCACGGTTCGAGTTTTCTTTCAATTGCAAGCTTCTGACATGGTTTCAGGTGGAGATGGCACGCTTCTTCCAGCCATTTCGACAGGTGGATGAAATACGTCGCCATGACAAAGTTTGCATGGTAGAGTGATGTTAATGTCAGCTTCGGGGACGCTTCGTCCTGCTGAGCAGGGCTTCGTGTTCAGCATCCGAAGCTTTGGCATTGGGGATTGGGGGCTTGAAGAAGCCGGTACTAGTATGGATTTCTGTTTCGGATGCAAGTCCTGCCTTGCAGCTTACACGTTCACACCTGACTTGCACGATTTTGGAGAAAAAACACTACTGACTACTGGGCCTTCATGCCAGGTCTCATCTTGCTTCGTCTTGACCGGTGGATCGATCTGGCAGCAATGCTAGAGCAGAAGGCTGGATGAGCCTTGTCACAGCAGCAAACGTTTTTCGCAAGAAGCCGCTCAAACTAGGTCATGATCAAGTACTTCCCTTGTTCTGAAGTCTGGACCTGAGTCATTGGTCCAGACTGTTCACCATCCCAGCCGTTCATGTTGATCTGTAGTCAACAAGCTTGGAGTTTTGTTGCTGGATCGAATCTCGACTTCAGGCCCTGCTTCTGTCACACTTGATGTCACGATGGGCACGCACCTCGCGAATGCTTTGCCCGCCAACTTTGCTCGGAACTCTGGCAGTGGGGCAGTGGACCACAGAAAGCAGTTTACATCGTGCTCCTTCGGCAGATATGCTTTTCTAGCGTGCTCCACCACAGGTCTGGAAGCCAGCAAGTTCGGGATTACTTTGGTGAGGACACGCTGCTCATAGCCCCCCCCGACCAAAAAGAGGCATTGCAAAGTCACATTTGCTAACGTGGTGAACTCGCGGCAGCCGTCGCATGTTGCAACATCATGCTACAATGTCGACAGGAGGTTGCTTTCTTCTTCCTGTTCTTCAGCCACTACATCAGATCCGTGATGGTTTTGGCAGCTTGTTGGTGCGACTAAAGCTGAAGCGCTTGCTCAAAAACTACTGACCCCGCAAGAATTTAAGAGTTCTGAGTGTCACAAGGAGCATGCCCACCCCGACCCTTGCACCTATCATGCCAGTTCACAGCACAATACAGCACATAAAGTCTGTCTGCAAGGCATTGGTTGGCATTGCTGCCCCTCGTCAGCAGTTCGCTGTGTTCACCTTCTTGACTGAGAGGTCATCTCGATCATCGCTTACTCTTCATTGTCCGAGGTGCCACTCTCTGCTGCCATCCTCGAAGATACCAGGACTTTCCTGCCCTGCCCCTCTCCGAGCATAGCCGTGTCCACAAAGAGTTCAAATCTGCGAGGAACCTCCGCTGGGTTCAAAAGGCTCCATGCGTCATTTCACATGTGAAATTGTTTAGTGGACTCACAACTTGTTCTGCTTTCAAGTCATGCGCTTTACCGGAAGGTGTTTTCTTTGACGGTCCTGTTCTGGACGCTCAGATTCAACTATGCGACATTCCCTTGGCCGCTCTTGTGTGCATGCTTGTTGAGAGCAGGAGTTGGTTAGCAGCGCTGTGATGTGCTTGCAAGCATCTGGGTTAATAATCGTGCTGCGATCCTTTGCTCGCATTGCATGTGTCGGTCGATTCGCAAAGCTGGGTCGGTCGAAGGACCGTCTTGTTTGGCCGTACATGGGAGCCTCTTCCTCAGAAGTCGTGCAGCACTTTGCAAAGTAGGCGGTGTTGGAAGGAGAAGCTTTGTGATCACAGGAACATCAGCGAACGCTACAAGCAATTATGGGGAATGAAGGCAGGGTTTTCTTCAATGCCCATGTCAAGGTCGGGACTGCAGACAGCCGTGCAGCAAGGACTATGAGGAGCATGACATAGAGCTTTCATCGTATCGCCCGGAATTGGAGGGAACGCAGGTGCCCCGGACTTTTGCTTTCCAGAGCAGGCCCAGATTTGTCGCGCGCTGAGGAAGGAGCTGAGTTTCCGTTACATGCCGCGAGCTCAGTTTGCCCGAAGGGGTTCCAAACATCAGAGTTGAGTCAGGTGGGGCAACATGATCGTCATTGCCTATCTGCGGCTCGTTCGAAACCGGAGTGTAATTGTGCATTATCTCTTGGCAGTGCCGTCCTTGCTGCGTCTGAATCCTGCATCCTCTCAATATCTCTCAGTCGCGCAGGCTGTTCTACATTGGCCTCGTGTTCACCCTCGAATGGGGCATGAAAAGCACTTGGTCTGCAATCAGAGCAGTCTTGCTCGGACCATCGGCATAATGAGTTGCCCGCATGAGGTGACGATTCTACCTCTTCTTCGTCCTGGCAAGCGCTGGTTCGTGCATGAGATGGCCTGTATGTTTCACTAGGCCTGCATGTTGCCTCGTCCTGAGGCCCTGACAATCCTGATCCGAGGGCTGTCTTTCGGATGGGCGCCTCAGCCATCCAAGCACCACTGATGACTCTGCCACGAACGACATAGACAGCTCAATGCTTAGCCAAGGCAAAAATAGTCCCGCTGATAGCAAGGCTACAAAACCACAGGCTGGGATGATCTGAGATGCGACCTCAACAGCCGCCGAATCTTGCGAGTTTCTGAGGACGCGGGCGGCTCGCAACTCCTCTTTGGCTTTCAGTCTGTGCACGGTGAAGGTGTTCATTGCTGTGCATTTCTGCTGCAACCAGCAGCAGTCATACGTCCTGTGATGCAGCAAAGGTTTGGCATGTTTTTTTTGAGAATGGCGAGAACAGCCAGCGCAGGTTCCCATTCTTTCGGCTGGCATTCATCGCGAATCTTAGTGAGCCTTCGAGTTGAATTCTCGAGTCTTGGAATCACCTGTGCCAGTGATGCGAATGCCGCTGCCCATGAGGAACCCTTATGCAAGCCGAGTGCGGACGAAGTGCTGGCAAGCTCCTCGAACGCATCTAACTTGGGCATGGCCATGCCCACCATGAGGGCTCCAAGTTTACGAATGCCAGGCATTTGGCCGGCCCACAAGCATGACATCCAGACACTGAAGATGCAATTGGGAGACGCTCGGGCTGCTTGGGTGTTCATCTTCACCGAAGTGCAACACCACGAAGATCGGGCAATTATCCAGCATGTCCCTGCAATTTTAGGACAAGCTGTGGTCGCCGTACCCATACTTGTACAACATCACCCAGGCATGTGGCTCTGTGTGGACAACTCGACATGTTGTCAGCAAGCTGATGCAAGCTGCGAAGTTTGCTTTGAAGGCCAACGCCGTGTGTTGCAGCACGTTTGTGATTTGTATGCGCACGCTCTCGCGGATGTGTCCGGGTGTGTCTGCCTAAGTGTGTGCGCAAATGCTTGCACATGTCGGGCAGCTTTTTCCGCCTTTTTGCGTTGGGAGGCAAAGGGAGGCTGTGATTGCGAACTCCGCGGAACGAAGCTTTCCCACAACCCAGTCACGCCTACCTGCGCGTATCCGCCCAGCCCCTGCACGGGCAATTCGTCTGTTACATCTGGCACACCCGGGCCAGACCCTGCCGTGATGGGATCATCATGCATGTCGCTGTATTTGGCACACCCGCAGCAGGACTCCATCCCTACGCCCTACGCGTCATTCATTTGTTTTAAAGTTTTCCGGCATGCCAATCTTGGTGCCTGGCACACAAAAAATTTCTGATGGATTTTTCCACCTCCCTCCTTTGCGGTCGGTCGGTGCCACGCATGTGCCGTGAGGCTAAGGCTTCATCTAGTGGGATCGTTGTTGCAGACATGTGCCCGCAGTCATGGGCGCTTGTGAGAATCTTGTGAGAGCCTGGGAGTGAACACATCACGATCCATCAGTAGCGTCCGTGCATCTCGGGGTTGATGGCTGCGTCCAGCCAGGCACGCAATGACATACAATGACCATGCTGAGTGTTGCCCTGCGGAAATGCCATGGTGGCGCCTGGCTGGTTCTTCGGGTTGCATTCCGCTGCTCCTAAGCTGCGTACAATGGCTAGGCAAATAGCATGGATTCCGCTGCTGTTGCTTGTGTGTCTTCATTTTGTGCACATGCAAAGACCTGGTCCATGGAAGTTGATGTGTAACCACTTGCGCTGAGTTTGCTCAAGGGCAAGCGCCGTGTTAAGCACGTTCGCCCTCCGTTTGAGTGGGCTGCGCCCGTGCGTGCGCATTCCCGAAAGTCTCACCACTTCCTCTGTGGCAGCTGATTCTGCCAAGTTGTTGACGACGATGTCCATTGGCTATTCACTTTTGTTGATCGGAGCGTTAGTTCAGGTGTGCTTACGGAGGATGGCCATTGCGGCCTTTGCTCCCACTCTTTTCTTGCTGCACCTGAGTGTGCAGGTGTGTATGTTTGCATGTACTCTATATGCGGGCAGATCGTTGCCTTCCCGAGCTTTTGTGGTTTTCCAAACCGCCTCCCTGGCCACGAACCGGCCAAGTTGCCCGAGAGAGCGTGAGCGTGATCTGTGCTGCTCAAGGTGATATGCCCAAGTCGATTATGACAGTCTACAACTTTTACCCAGGCAACAGGATGTCCGCGATCCACCCACAGACAAAAGACAGCACAAGACCCACGCCAACCGAGCTGAGACATTTGCTTGCCTCTCCATCGGAATGCGCATCATCCGAAAACTCAAAGCCAAGCTCAAATTTATGTTTCTCACAAAATCCGGTTTGAGGCGCCCTTGTTGAGTTGGCATCAGCAACTCTGGGCAATGAAAGCCCTGATCTGGCATTCATGATTGTATACCAAGACTCCGCCGAAGCCGTAGTTAGATGAAAGTGCCTGTTGCTGTCGGTGGCGCTCCACGGGCTTCTGTGAAGCTCAGCAGTGCGACACAATTACCCGGCACGGTGTGAAGGATGGTCGGACACAAGTCTGCATCGAAGGTTGCAGGCCGAGGAGCCCTTTGGCGGGGAATGGATGTGCCTCAGGGTGAGCAGGGTGAGCTGAAAGCCGTTGACCCGCTGCACAGACATGGATTTCTCGAGGGTGCAGTTTGGTTTGCAAGGTCCAGCGATGCTTCTCAAAGGAGACTCGGTGGACATGATCTTGTCTGCATGCAGCATCGTGTGTCTCCACAGGTGGACCTCGTGCCAAATAGCCATGGTGCAGAAATAAGGTCAAGTACATGATGAAACAAGCTGCATCTTCGAGCTGCGGGAGACGCTTCTCAGATGTTACCAGGTAGGGGCAGCCGAGTTGCGCAACCACTGACCGGTAAGCACGGGGCACTGGCTGTCGAAGAGTACGACACCCGCATTCTTGCATGCCGAGGTTGTTCCAATTCTACATGCTCCAGGAAAGGTGACGCAGTGCGTCTGATTTCCAATTCGTTTTAGTGAGGGTGCAGCCTCGCAGGGCGTCCTAACTGTCGTGTTCCTCCTGATTCCTGTGATTCTCGTCAAATGTGCCACGAACTGAGATTTCCTGACAGCTTTGGGCCCTAGGCATATGCATCTCTATATAGCATTCTCTGCGGCTGCAACGGCAAGGCTGAAATGCAAGAGTCTCGCCGGGCAGCAGAGAAGTACGACGAATCTACTGTGGACTACACGTTGCTACAGCTCCAAGTCTAGATGTTTGCGCTGTGAGACACGTAGCTGATTCCGTTTCGTCCTCCTTAAACTCAAACTTCAATTCAAGGTATCAGGCGAAATGTTGTGACCTCGCACCTTATCAGTGGCTTTGCTACGAAATGGAGATTTTCTGTTGTCATGTTTGACCTTGTCTTGTTGCTGCACTGCTCTGCGTCGAAGCGTCGAGTAAGGTTTGATTCCTGGGGAGGTTCGATTGTGGAGGATTTCCTGGAGGTGGTCATCAACTTTGCTTTGCGACTTGCTAGCCTGGCTGGCATAATGCTGTCTTGTTCAGCCACCTCGTACAGTAGTAGGTACGTCGCTCATCATCTGCAGATTCTGCAGTCGTTTGAGGCTTTCTATGTTCAGTGTGCTGGTGCCTATGATTGCCGCTCTGCCAAGCTGGAAGCACGCCCTCCCCACCACATTCACTGGGTATGCGGACGGGAGTCGCCCAGGCCATTCTGGCAGTTCCGGTCAACATTATGGTCTTCAGGCACGAAGGGACCAGGGAGGGTGCTAAAGAGACAGGGTGTTCACTTCCTCAACTCACGCGAGTCGCTCCAAAGGCTAATGGCCTTTCGCATGACCCGCATCACGTGCCGTCCTGAACCACATGGAGCCGAAGGCAGGCGATTAGGCTCAGTAGGATGTGCTCTGGCAGAGGTTGCTCATCCCAGACACCAGCGTGGATCCTTCTTGTGAAATCGGCCTTCCTCGAGACTTTTGCTATCTCTGTTCCCCTTGCACGAATGCATTTGCCACGTTCCCACCTTCTAATTTGCAGACTTTTTGCTCCTGGTTTGCAAAATGGCAACATTCGTGCATGTACTGGCAAACAGCGCACCTCCAGTAACTCCATGCCTACTCGACAAGCCAGGGGGGCCAGGGCCAGGAAAAAAACAAAAATCGGGGTTGGGAGAACCGGCCCAGCCAGGGGGGGCCAAAGAGGAGCCGCCAGCGAGCCATGGGCCGGGGCGGTCCAAGGGGGGGGGCTAGGGGGCGGCAGGGAAACTGCCGGATGTCCTCTGGGTCCAGGCACCCTAGAAAAAGGGTGGGTACGGCCTAAGCAGGCCTGGGTGGGAATTGAGGGCTTAGGTTTAGGGTTTAGGGCGTGTCGCCGCGCAGCGGCAGTATTTTCTATGTAGGATGGCGCCCCAACACTCCCAGGGGTGTGAGGGGGCGGCATATCTACGTCGAGCATTAGAAGGCGGTTCCATCACCAAACAATTACACATTGGTTATTGTTTTTTCCCACCCGCTGTGAGATCACACAGGCTACCACACAAAAATATTGCCTTTTAGGGTTTAGGGCTTACAGGAAAGGCCACACACACCACAAAACAGAGGGTGGGCCAGGTGGACAGGGCCAGGGGGGGCTAGGGGGGGCTAGGGGGGGCTAGGGGGGGCTAGGGGGGGCAGGGGGGGCCAGGCGGGCCAGCGGCCAGGCAGGGGGTTACGGGGGCCAGGTCAGGGGGCCAGGGCGCGCCAGGGGGGGCCCGAGTTGTCCCAGCCGCATTAAGCGAGGACCACGGAAGTGTTCGAACAGAAATGACAAGGCAGCCAAGTTAGAATTGCCAACAACCGTGAGACTGTCAGTCGGCTGATGTGTTGACGGTTCACACCAATCTTCCAGCACGTTCTGCGTTAGAGTGTGTGCTTGCACGGCCAGCACTCAGCAGAATGCGGCAATGCAGTATGTCTTATGTACAAGCTTGCTGGGGTGCTTGTAGGAAGATTTCGAGGCTTATTGTAGACAGTCCGCCATGTCCGCTTTATAGTTGAGTTTGCAGGATGTCTTGCGTTCGCTTCGGTCATCGACAGCAGCCTTTCCAGCACTCACACGGTGCGATCGCCAGGACGATTTCTGCAAGAAGCATGCAACGGCGCTACAATTCTACTAATTACCACGAAAACAACTTGTAGCACTTCAACGGTCGTTGATCACTGGCGAAATCACTGTGAAGGCACGGGTGAAATTTGCAAACAATCGTATCCATTAACTGTTTTTGCTTCTATGTTTTCTCTGGAGGCTTGAATGTGCAGCCTGCGCTCGTGACGCATGCCCATCTTAGTTCAATGCCAGTGAGTGTTCGTCTACGTTGTTTACTCAACTGCAGCAGGCATTGGCTTCTGGGAATCTGGTGTG